TAAATGTTTTTAAAATAAGCGTTTTTTATTAGTAGATTAAAACCTAGCAGATCATTTTAGATAGTTTTAGTACAGTGATCCACAGTCTCAGTCTCCACTTCACAGTCATTTGTTTTTGTTATGAACCTGTTTCAGGTTTTCCATTATTCCTAAATAATTAATGATGTTTCTAAACATATGTTCATATTTGTTACATGTTTAATCTTCCTAAGGGGAACCACACAGCTAAACATGTATGTTGTTTTTCCATTATCTGTCCCATGTTTTGCTATAAATGTCTGTAGGCACACACCCCACAAACTAAATATACATGTCACACCTACAGCAGACACAACCACCTACTCACTGAGACTGAATGTGCCGCCAGTAGGGGATCTCCGGGGGGGGGGGGGCAGGTCAATCAACCGCAAGGGATTGTGGTCCAAACAGAATCACTTAGGCTGTATCTGAAGGGAATGGAGGAAAATTGCAGAGGAATCACAAGGGATTTGGTCTGTAAATGGAAACCCAACCCTCAACACTTCATATGTCTCTGTCCTGCCTCCTTCTCCCTCTCTCTCTCTCTCTCTCTCTCTGTGTCTCCCTCTCCCTCTCCCTCCCTTTTTTAATAGAAGCTTCCTATCCTGAACATATCAATAAATATGGCATTATGATCTTGCTGCACATACATAAAAGCAGTTTATGATCCACAGAGTGAAAAACAAATTCCAGCAGCTAATATTTGCTCTGTGACTCAGCTCAGAACAGTTAATCTCAAGCTTATTGTGCAGATGGTACCAATATGATACCCATACAATAAAAAGAATATTAGAATTTTATTTTTTTTATTTCATTTGTATAGAGAGTGTTTGTATTTGTGTCTTTTGATTATGGCCAAATTTGTTGTTTTGTCTTACACCTGGATGCTGGCTCTGGTTTATCAGTGTGAATTTAAGGGTCTAAGCTGTGCTCTCCCAACCTGACATGACATGACCTGCCATCATCACAAATCTATGTGTGTGTCAGCCCTCAGACCATCTCTGATAAGCCCATCCATCACACATACCCTCACAAGAGCACTCAGTCCTACTCAATAACCTCCCATCTATCCTTCCTGGACTTTATTAATATAACCCGCAGAGACCTGGCTGTCCTGTGATGGGATGTGACAACCCTGACCGAGAACTGACCTGCCCACCTGACCTGTGTGTGTGTGTGTGTGTGTGTGTGTGTGTGTGTGTGTGTGTGTGTGTGCGCTAAAACATATATGACATACAACAAACTGTGTGCAAGTGTGGTATGAGCAACACAGTGGCTGATGGAGGAAAAAACCCATGGGTGCGCTGTATCTGCTGAGAAAATATCTCACCCTCCTGTATACTTTCTTTCACTGCTTATCCATCTTCCTCCTGTCTGAGACTTTTACTTCCACCTCCAGCTTGTTCCCCACCTTCAGGGTCGTCTCGCGAAGTCAGAAATGGCCCCAGCATTAATCCAGGCAGGAGGGAGAGAAATTACATCCAACCTCACTTATCACATGCACACACATGCACCACTTATTACAGCTTTCTCTTTTTTTTTTTTAATGTGTGCAAGCCCAGCTTTATCTCTGTGCTATGTATAATGGCTCAAAGATGGTATCATCAGAGACAGACCAGCTTGACTAAATGGGAGCGGCAAATTGACTGTAGTATTAGGAGAGAAGGGCCTCTATCAGACAATCTGATAGGATCCCATTAAAGAACGCTTGCAGATGAATATGATTAGCTTTTCATTCCTCCTAATGGAAACATCTTCTGAAGAGGGGAGGAGATGAAATGTTTTGTAGTGATAGGGCCTTTGTACCACTGATGGGATTGTTATTGCCTAATTTGGGTAGAAAGGCCATTAAAGTTCTTGGAAGAAGACGATGAATGTTCTCTGTAAGTATATTCTCACTTATGGCTGTGGACCAGCGGTTCACTGTGCGTGGGCAGCGCTTTGCTTTGTTGGTGGAAAAAAACCACCTTCCACTTAAATGGCTGCATATTGGGCTTATATTTGCAGAAATCTGTGACTAATGAGTATGAAGTTTCACCTCTTGTTTCATCTCCTTCTCGGAAATGAACTGGATGTTTTTTGTGTGTGTGTTTGTGTGGTTTATGTTACCATTCTGCATTTTTTCCATCTCCAGCGGACTGTGACAGAAGTGCTTCATTAGATTCTAAAAGGACTATCACGACGACAACTTCTTAAGCAGATTATTGTTCATTTATGGAGAGCCTCCGGGGTACTGTGTGCCGAGCCGTCACATAACAACCAGTGCTGCTCTCTGTGATCTGTCAAAGCGAATTTGAGTTTGATGAGTGCTATTGAGCAACATGTTTCTGGATATCTGCAAGAGTTGGAAGTACATTTCGAGTGTTGACTGAGTCGTTCTAGCTGTTTAATGTCATTACTACACAAACAGCCTCATTGTCATTTCGTTGCTGAGAAACATGCTGCTTAAACAGGATGCAAAGTAACACTGCAGCACTGACATTTTCTGAAGATTTGTGTTTTTAAATCATTTCTAAGGCTTTGTTGTGCAAGGATTTCAATATATCTGACAGATGACTACAACTCCACATGTGCAGACTGGTGTGTGTGTGTGAGAGTCAGTTTTTGCATATGCATGCGTGCCTGGCGGCAGTTACAGGTTGATTGACTAGATCCGTGCTCTGCCAAGTCCATAGGGGCTTGTAATATACATTACAGATGCATCAGGGGACCGATGCCAACTGCTGTTCTATCCTTGTGTCGTTAGTATCCATGTGAAAATGTGTTGTTCCATCTGTCACACACTGGCTTGTAGCATTGATGGAAGATGATTGGAAATAAGGAACCTCTAGAGAAAAAGTGCACAAAATCACAAAAAAAGTTCAAGACAGAGCATGTGTTTTTTCCTTTTTTTTGTGTGTAGTTGGAAGTGTAAAGGTACTCATTATGCAGGAAAAACCGGCTCTGTCAGTGATACATTATTATAACATTTTAGCATTATTACTACTAATGCATTCACATGTAAGCAGCATTTTAATGCTGTAGCAGGCTGTGCTAGAGGCAATTACCCATTTTATCTGCTGCTGGGGGGTTTAATTTACTGTATAAAAACACATTGTGTTTTATATGCTCATAACAGGGTTTTATAAAGTAATTATGGATGCCAAATTCACATAGTGAAGTAAAAAGTATATTTACCCCTGAACTGTAGGGGAGTAAACTTATAAAGTAGAATTAAATTTAAATTACGTAGTAGAAAAGTAAAAAGTAGTAAAAAGAAAAAACAAAGGAAAATACAAGTAGTTGAGTAAATGTGCTTTATACCACTGATACGTGTAAATGCAAAACTCAACTCAACATTAAGTGTCCCCTTCTTAAAAAGACTGTATTTGAGTGTGTGTTTTGTGTATAGTATATGTGTGTGTGGTTCCATTCATGCATGAGCGCATAGCTTAACCTCTGTAATTCAACCTATCTGTGGTGTATTCACAGCGCAGCTCACTGACACCACTGCATCTCTCAGTTTTCACTGTTTCTGACACGCCACATTGCTCCCTACAGGGGTGAGTGTGACGAGGCAGAGAAGAGACAGATTCCCTCGCAACATTTTGTCGCTGTCTTCCTGGCTTTGCTTCTGCTGTGACTTTTCCTTTTTTCAGCCTCTGAGGGGCCAGCCCAAACTGCAAATTTGCAAAAGATATCTTCACAGATGAGTGTGTCCATGAATCATTAACTCATTTGTCTCTTTACCCAAGAGAGCCTGGAATATGCACACACTGACTTGTCTGGCACTTCTACTGTGTAGTAATTGTACAGTTTGAAATTAGAATATTTTGTAGAAATTTGTGCGGTGCAGATGTAAAACTTGGAGTGGGCAACAACAGTTTACGAAAAAACAAGCAACGCCATGTATCTTCGAGGCTGAGTCCACTGGTTGCAGTCAGGCTGCTTTTCATATGATAAATCAATTTGATGAGTACAAAAGAAAAGTTGTTGTTAGTAATTCTGAGGAGGTAATTCTCGAGGGTGGAGGCAGATGAAAAGCTATTATATTAACTGCGAGTTACTCACTATGAAGGACAAAAACATTTGTGTTCAAAATGCTTCTTTATCTTGATGAAAACACGAAAAATCTTCCCACACTGTGTCTTTACATAATAACATATACGTGCTGGATGCTTAAAGGCTGTTTGTATCAGGTTTATTTGTAGTCTGACTTGGAGTCAGCTCTAATAAATTCAGTGGAACTTCTTGTTTAGCTGGAAAACAAGAACAAATTACCTGCTCTTTTTATTCATGAATAAAAAATGAACACCATTAGAAATAAAGGTTGCTTTGCCAACTTAAGTCGTGCTCTTTTAGCATTTGAATTTCTTCTCCTCTGTCTTCTGTCTTTTCCCTCCACTGATGATTCCAGCAGTTCGGCTTCTTCCTTGGAAAACAAGGGATTCATAATATAGTTATTGCAATTGCGTAGTCTGTCTTTGAACCTGAGACGGGATTGCGTTTGACTTGCAAATATTTCAGATTGAATTGGGCTAAATGACTTTCAGGAAATGTCCCTGGCATTCACCATGCCCTCCTCCCTTTCTCTCTTCTTTCTAAAGGTTAATAGTATCTGCTCTCAGTGAACGAGTCAGTGGACTTCACTGTGCCATTCAGTGAGATAGAGGGTTTGGTAGTAGCCTCTCTCTTGGGGTGGGATAAAGCTCACAGGTCAAGCTTTACTCCGGTGGGGATGAACATGTGCATCATGGAGAAGCCTGAAAAAAAAAAAGATGAAAGGTTTGTGCAGGGAGAATGACTGGGTAGCAAGCTGAACTAGTTTGTGTATGTGTGTGTGTGTGTCTTTCTGTTTGTGTGACATGAATGACCTTCAGTTGGCTGTGTGTGGCTACAAGGTTGGGCTACCACAGATTTTATTAAATGCATAATAGGATGATCCACTAAACATATTTTCTCTCTCTCTCTCTCTCTCCCTCCCTCCCTGTCCCCTCTCGCAGGTACGGAGACATGGTTCCTAAGACGATTGCAGGGAAGATCTTTGGTTCAATCTGCTCTCTGAGCGGGGTGCTGGTAATTGCCCTGCCTGTCCCTGTCATCGTGTCCAACTTTAGCCGCATCTATCACCAGAACCAGAGAGCAGACAAGCGGCGGGCGCAGAAGGTACAGGTGAACACAGTTTTATTTCCCTTCACCTGGGCCTCAGAGGGTTGGACCTCCAGACCTCCAGCCCAGAGGGGAGCTCTGACGTTTCTCTCCCCCAGAGGAAGGGACTCCACAGGGTTCAGATCCTCCCTAAGACTAATGATGATGTGTGTATAATGCATATTCACTTAAAGTATATTCACATTAACAGGAGGTGTGTGATACATATTCAGTGAGTATCACCACATTTTAATGGCCCTCGCCCCTTGACATGCATACCTAAACCCTTACTTTTACCTCTGCACTGCATAAATCCTTGAGTTTTAGAGGAATATTTCCCCCTTTCCCAGAGTGAGACAACACTGATGTCCTCCTTATGACGTCTCTTAAAGTATAATTTGCAAGGTTAGCCTAGCGTGGCTAAATGCCTGAGTTGCAGTGGGATCAAGAGGCAGCTCCTTCCCAACGTAAAAAAAAATTCACTATGAAATTTCTCCAGATATTGATGGATGATCTAAATTAGTAACATGTTGTAATACACACACACTCTCTGTCACGCTCACACACACACACACACACACACAAATGTATCCCACCATTTTTCCGTCTGTCCGTTCGTTCGTTCCATTCTCGGGAATGCAATATCTCAGTAATGCCTTGAGGGACTTTTATTACATCTGGCACTAACGTTCACCTGGACTCAAGGATGAACCGATTAGATCATGCTGGTCAAAGGTCAAAGGGCATGGTCACTGTGACTTAACAAATCAATTCAACACAAATGTCTAATAGGATAAAATGATGGAAGTGATGACATTTTGGAGTCGTCCGAGGTCAACTTCACTGTGAAATCATAATGTTCTGCAGAAACATTTCTGGCCATTATTCAGTGCTGTAGCTCAGATTGTGAACATATTTCCTGCAACTTGACTGGTTGGCGGAGAGATACAACTGCAATAATTCTAGTTGTTGATAAAACATCATTTGTAATGGTTTTGTAAGTTGTTACTAATGACTTAATGTTAATAAATAATCAACTATTGCTTAGAGATAATTTTTAATAAATTATTAATTGGTTTATTAACCATTAACAATATATATACCATAGCATTAACATTATATATATATATATATATATATATATATTGTCCCAATCAGCTTCTTACTGTGAGTAATGAAATTTTACATAAACACAAAATTTCAGCCACAGATAAAAGTAGATTTGGTTATTTCACATAACACTCTTCTCATTGATTTTAAGTGGGTGGGGCTTAGCCGGATAAAGACGTCATGTTCTTCTGTTAACCAATCAGGATTTAGCAACATTTGTATCAAAACATGATTTAAATGGCGGGTGCTCCTGTTTGATCAAATCTAATCAAACAACACAGTCTTAAAGTCACAGATTAGCAGATTGTATTTCCATTAAGATGCATGACCCGAGCTGAACTAAGTGTTCTGTTCTGACTTTTTGAAGGAATCATATTATGTAAAATATCAAATTCCTCCAAACCAAAGTATCCCGTAACTCCACAACCTGTTGTCATGACTCCAGTCTTTGCCTTTCAGAAACATTAAAACTCATCAGCATTTCCCCTCTTCGCATGATTTTCATTGTTGATCTGTTCTTATGAGCAGAGTTTATCCTTGTATCGTAATAATAAAAAAACACATAGGCACAAATTTATAAATGGATTATGTAAACTTGTGCTTCAACTTTAGAAGGATTAAAGATCCTTTCTTCCTTCGGGTAAATAGCCCACACTTTAGACCTTTAAAGAATCATGTTGTGCTGTGTCCATGAGCCAAACTGGGTAGCAGCATCAGCTGGTGCACATTACAAAACTGGGCTGGTAATCATAGTTTGAGGGCAAGCCTGACAGTTTTTGTTCTCCTGAGATAGATAGTAGTGTGTTTGTTTGGATCTGGCAGACATGCACACACTGACACATATTTTCAGAGTCCATTCCTCTCTCTCATCACTCTCGCTCACACCTCTCCAAGCAAGGCTTCTTTTTTCACTCCTTTTGCTTATTTCTTCTCTTCTCCCCTCAGTTCAGCTCAGCTCTGTCTCCATTGGCCCCTCCCTCCCCTCCTCCTCTCCCCCTCCCTATCTCACCCTCTCTGTGATTACTGCCATCCATCTCTGCACATGCTCTCTGGTTGTAGTTTAAATCTGTTTAAAGTCTTGCAGTTCGACCGTGGCCTGACCGCTGCCCAGTCTTAACTAACCGTAACCTTGTCTGCCAAGCAAGACTCCAGTGTAACGTGCCCAAGTGCGGGGGAGGTAAAAGAGACACGGGGGGGGGACAGGAAGAGGGTTGGGAAAATTATCTAGATTGAAAACAGGTTGGAAGCGATGAGATGTATATTATTGAGACAGAAAAGAGAGAGGAGAGGAGAGGAGAGGAGCGGTGACGAGGTGTAAGGGAGCAGGGGAGGCAGCGGGAGAGTAGGAAGGGGGGGGGAGCTGGAGGCGGTGTGTGTCCTAATGCTGTGTTCTTTCCTGAAATAGCTATCACCCAGATGAGGTGCTGGCTGGAAGGAAGGTGTGTGTCTGTCCGTCTTGTTTGTGTATGTATGTGCATCTGCTCGAGTGCATGGATCCACGTCCGTGTGTGTGTGCGTGTGTGTGTGTGTGTGTATGTGTGTGTGTGTGTGTGTGTGTGTGCATCCACTATACTTCCTGTCACTTTAGGCCTGACCTTCGTCTGTTCCACCTTCCTGTGTGTTCTCCACTGAGCCGCAGTGTGGTGCAGTGTCCCACACACCACTCGGTACCAGGCACACGCACACCTCCAGAAGTACCAACCGAGTGACCAGTGTAGCATGACAGTGCTGTCGTCATTAACCAGTGGTAAATGTCTCCCTCCGGCACTTGAATGCCTCCCTGGCTCGCCTGCAGTGAGGTCAGCGATTTGCTCAAGCACCCATACATCCAACGTAGAGATTTTCTCCATGTCATAACAGCATGACTCAAACGCCTGATTATTACCTTCATAATAATATTCCACCTGGATGTCTCGATCCTTAAGAGAGTTATTACTACGGCAAATCAAGGTCTAAGTGCCAAGGATGATGATAGGTTTGCAAATGTGATATTTTAGAGCATTTAGGAGCGGCAATCTGTGTACCATCTCTGTCTTTAATTAGCCCTCAGGATTAAGTGTTGCTCAGCATTTAAGCTTGTGTGCTTGAAGCCAGCGGAGCATGTCTTTTATTACATATTGTGCTAGTTTTGGAGGTAGATGCTGTGGAAATGACTTGATTTCGCATCCCACCTGGATGTTAACTAAAACAGGTTTCCCTTTTCCTGCCTCATGTTATTCTATGGAAGTGGTTCTGTCCATCGCTTTGGGCCAGACTGAAATATCTCAAAAACTGTTGGACTAAGTTTTGCACTGGCATTCATGGTTCCCAAAAGGATGAATCCTATTTTTAGTGATGCCCTGACTTTTCCTCGACAGCACATTGAGGCTGATATTTGTGGTTCAGAGCAAAGAAATTGGATGGATCGGCCTGAAAAGTGATGCCAGTGTAGCTTCCGTGCAAGATTTTGTTTTTATTGTAAAAACTGAGATGGAACTACTGTTGACATATGTTCAAATCAGTTCACGTTACATCGCATTAATTTAATGTTCTTTGACTCTTGCTTGGCAGACAACAGTCTATCACACCATAAAAGGCGGTAACTCCAGCGTAGATGGTGTGTGATGGAGCCATTATCATTGTACGGTCTACTCTTCCAACTGTTAATGACAACTGATCAGTGATGCCCCACCCATGCATTACTCAGGCGTGTCACATCCTTTAGAACCCCATTACTACCCTCCACATAACATGTTGTGTTTCTTAATGCTCCATAATTTTAACGATACATGAACCTCTCGTCCATTAAGCCAACCATTTAGCAAGTGTCACTGGTCATTTAGCATAGCAAAACGTCATTTGCCCAGCATTTATTACCTGCGCGTGGTTATATTTCACAGAGAATCAATTCTTCCTCAGATCATTTCTTAGAATAAGGCTATGTTTAACTGAGAGTAAAATAGGATAGCCATTCAAGATTGCCTTTCACAGTACTTAAACAATGACGAGAGGGCAGACAGGAGGGAAGGGAGGGGAGGGGGAATTACTGAGGAGAGAAAGTGCAGCGTTAGTCCCTCAGCAGTTTCCAGCCTCCTCTGTTCGCCTCCTGTCTTCCCCCCACCCCCCCCTCTCCTTACATGCTTTGCCTCAGCCTTCCCTCCCTCCCTCCAACCCACCCGTCCTCATCCATCTTTGTTCAGGTCTAATTGTTAGCTGTTCTGGGCTCCCATTACAATTATCCATCCATCTGGGTGGTGGTAGAGAGACAGCCCCTGATCTATCTCTCTGCACAAAGGAAAGATACATGAGGATGCCACTAGTTGCTGTGTGGCGAGAATGAACACACAGCTGAGACACACACATATTCTCTATTCTGCCTCCCTATAGCCTTTAGTGTCGCTACCTTTGTTCGACAGTGAATTGAACACCGACTTGAAGTCCTTCCCTTTCTTTACACATGATCTCATAAAAAGATCCGAAACAGAGTGTCCAATCTGCTGGGGTTACCTCTTTTGTTGCACTGCGGAGCTTATTTGCATAAAGGTAATAATATCCTCAGGTAGGTCTAATTACAAATTCTGAGTATTACACCTTGAAGAGGGCAAGATTTAAATGGAGAATCACAAAGGGCAAGTGATACAGAAGGATTAGAGGGTGGGCGGCAATGAAAATGAGCTGAACCGATCTGTTTCCCTGGTTCTCCAAATATGTCCTTAAAGCTGGATTTATGCTTGGATACTTAGATCGAAGGTTTTGATTTTGTAGCTCAGTGTTGAAACTTTGGACTTTAATTGTATGCAAAGTAACTGTTAAATTCTCTCATTACAGAACTATTTTGTGCCGTCGCTGTATTTAGGTTGAGACAGGATCACAGTGAGACTTGCAGTGGAAATGGCTTTGCTAGATATGTGTTACTGAAAAAGAGATGA